AGAGTGTTAGTGTCAGTAACATTCATATTGGATCACACGGGGGGAGACACCGTGCGAAAAAGAGAGAAAGAAGGGAAGATGTAGCAAAGGGAAGGGAGACAAATAGATTGGTTTTACTGACGATTCAGAGATCATGCGGGGATAGAGGAGACAGACAACCTTTCACTTTTTGACAAGCTTATGTTTCTCCTTCTCCTCCTCCTCTCTGTCGCGTTCTCCTTTTCCTTCTATCTATTCGTGTTCTGTTTCTCTCTGTCTTCTCTTCGAACTCTCTTTTCGTCTACCTGGCAGGTGCGACCCAGACTCCTATCAAGAATGTACCGGATTCCCTTTCGTATAAATTTGCGGAGAAACGAGTTTCATTGATGGCTCAATATGCATTCTTGTTCGTTCGAATGTTTCCTCAGATTTCTTGCTTATTTTATTGCGATTCCTGGATCGCAAATATTTTATAAAGACATTGTATCTCTTCAGATCTTTTATTTGTATTAATATGTATAATGCATAGTTACTAATTTAAGAAAATTATTTTCAACCTTCAGTTAAATTATTCTTTCTCTTTCTCTCTTTCTTACCTGGAATTTAAATATATTTTATTTATTTATTAGTCTATAATTATTATTATTCTCTATAATTACACTTATTATATATAAGAATATAAATATGTTAAGAATTGAAAATTACTAACAAGTAATTTGCAATTTGTAATACCAGATAATAAATCAATCAATCACTGGTAATATTTTATCATTATCCATTATTAAATTATTTTTTATGTGGACACTCATTCTAGTACTTGTTACATAAGTGACATTATATGTATATATCCTATTAGTATTTGTGTAATAAATTGTTCATAATACTTCTAGCACAAATAATGCTATGATAAGTTTTAAGCAAAGATTGTCGTTTCATATGTATGGTATATTAATAACATTATATTTTACACATCGGCAGAGGAAAAGAGAGAAAGAGAGAAAGTATATTACTAATCATTTTTATAAAATATATGTCTTTTAGAGAATATCAATTTCTTCTAAAAGCTTTCTTCGCATAAGACATGAGAGAAAGTTTGATGCATCTAGCCAAAGATGTATAAATATTTATCGGAGTCTTTTATCTCTCTCTTAATAGATTCCATTGTTGCCAATTAAATTATTAATTATTTATTTTAAAGATCAGTATATATATAATATTCAATGTATTTCAAATATCAAAGTTTTTGTCAGAGTAATAGCGACTTGTGTACCGTGTTTCGATCCATAAAGTTCGTCCGGAGATGCGCTTGCGCTCTCTCTAAAGATTGGTACCTGCGCTTTGGAAGTCGTCTACGAGCTGAGTCCTCGACGCGTTTTGTTTGCTTCCTGGTCTCAGATAGGATCAACAACAAAGTTATGAAGGTATCCTGAAAACACAGATGCTCTTTTGAAATGAGTCTCTCATCTTTGAAGCCAATCTGACGTACGTTAGTTTCTGGAGAAGGAACTCCAGGAAGTAATCCGGGCTTAGTCCTGAATAAGGTCTGGTTAAAATAGTTTTTTATCAATGATGTCGCGATATTTCTCTAAAATGATAACACGTTTAGGTTTCGTGCCTAAAATAAACTATGCATTGCTATTGATATATTATAAAAATATATTATTAATTATACAAATATAGATCTCTAAGATTAAAGCAAATGATAATTAATATAAATATAATTTTAAAAATTTTAGAAAAAAATCTTTAAATGCCTTCTTTATAACAGAAATATTAATAATTAAATAAAAATGTAAAATAGTGTTTAAATATTAATGCAAATTATGTCATAAGCTGGAAAACGTTAATACATATTTTTATAAATTTTTTTGCATTTATTGTGTTAAAAAATTTGATTTTTATATACGTGTTTATAGATGACGTTCTCGAATCGATTCACAAATATATTAATCTTTCTTCTTTGGACCGGCGTGATAAAATGTTACAATGTTCCCTGCACATTCAATACCATGTGCATGTGTTGGGTCCAGGATGATGATGATGATTTCACGAAGATGGACATCAGTTGCATGGGAGTTCCATTCGCACGATTTCCTGGTATGTATAAATCAATATCTTTGTACATTATATAAGTATCACTCCTAACAATAAGAAAAAAAAAATTTCTTTGATTATTTTATCTTGTAAATATATGTACATTCTTCTCTTCTTATTATCATTTTCTATTATGTTTAGTATTATTTTATAAGTCTATATTTTTTTTCTTGTTATAATAGTAATATTACAATATGTATACACATATCGATATGTATACATATCAGCATAAATTCGGAAATATAATTAAACACATTTAACATACATACATAAAAATATTTTAGATGTATCAGTAAGCTATGTGGCGCAATTAGATATTGCTGGCTCCGGGATACAAGTGCTGGATAATGATGCACTTGCGAGTTCCGCCGGTGTCGAAGCTCTGGGATTGATGAGCAACCGGTTATCCAGCATAAGTGATAAATCTCTATTGTAAGTTTATATTTAATTTCCTTGCACACAATACGAATAAAACATACGTAGATATATATTTTTTACGTAATAAATTTATTATAAAATAATTTTCAAGACAATTTATATTTTATATTTATTTCCTCTAAGATTATTTTTAATAAAACCAAATCTACAAATTCAAATTTAATTTATTAATGCTACTAATTTTGAAAAAAATCCTTGAATTAAAAGATTAATACCGTTAATATACTAATACTATTAATGCTTTTCTTGTAAGAGGTGTTACGGACAGTCTACGTTCATTGGATCTAAGCTACAACTCTCTCGAGGATGTGCCTTTCAAGGTTTTTCGCGATTTAAGAAAATTAAATTGGCTCAACATGCACAGGTATAAATATAAATCACTTATTTCAAAAATATATTATATTTATATAAAATATTATTATTATATTATACTTCTAATCTTCGTTCATATATATGTATAAGCAGAGTATATTATTTCGCTTCTAGCAAAAAAATTGCAAATTTTCTTATTTCTCTAATACTCTCTTATTTAAAGTCTAGCATTTTAAATAAGTTTTTTACAAAAGTAACGTGATTTAATAAAAAAACTGACATAATAAAATAAGACATTTTTATATACACGTGTAATCAAGAAATTTATTAATTATTAGCAATCATCTAACATCGTTGGATGGCGACTGGGGTCGCACCAGAGAGACTTTGACGAACGCATTCTTCGGGGATAACTCGATTACTGAAGTATCTAAAATCTTTTCGAGTTTTGCTGCGCTGGTATGGTTGAATCTGGATAGCAACAACATCGAGAAGCTCTCCGAGGATTCTTTGCCACCAAACATGCACACCTTGAGCATCAACAATAATCTTTTGAAGGAATTCCCGCAGTCTTTAGGAGGTTTGAAAAAACTTACCTGGCTTTATATGAGAGGAAACGATCTCAAGTATCTGGAATTACCGGATTTCCGTAGTTCCGGTTTGGAATTGATCGACGTTAGCGAGAATTCCATCGAATGGATAAAGACACCTACCTTGAGCAATCGTACTTTAAAGGTGAGGGACTTTAATCTCGCCGGAAACAAATTGGCCTCATTGCCCGGCAAAATGTTTCATCATCTCGAAACGAGAAGAATCCACTTGTCGTCAAACAATATCAGAAATGTTGACAGCGAAGCCTTTCACGGTCTGGAAGATATTGTCGAATATTTGAATCTCGAAAACAACGATTTGCCGGCGGTGCCGAGCTCAGTTAGTCGATTGAGAACATTGTCGTACCTTTACTTGGCTAACAACGAGATTAGAAATATTTCCGGTGAGGCCTTTCAAGAATTTGCAGAGCATCTGAAGGCCCTCTCTCTTGCGACTAACAGTCTAGATGCAGTGCCCGTGGCTGCTTTGTCCAGGTATTCTTAATATTTTTATATGAAATTAATTCTTGGATCAAATTTTGAAGAAACAATTTCTACAAGAATTAATTTTTAAAACGTAATCAAATATATATTAAATTTAAAAAAAAAGATGTTTTCCAATAATATAATAAATAAAACTTTTAAGCGTATATACACGTGATTATCGAAACTAATAAATATACATATTTTTACAAAAAAATATAAGCGTTCTTAATATTTATATAATCTCTAGAAATAATATATATAAAAATATATA